TATGGAAAAGCTTGCTTCTTTGTAGTGTTTTTGTATTTTCGAAGGCGTTCTATATACATTGTATCAGGCAGACATATGACTTGACAGTAAAGACGATCGGAAATTATATGTGCGACGGAAATGGCTCAATGCAAAGTTTCGGCTCGTGAAAATGTAAGATAAGTAAGATAAGTAGAAGGATAACTGGACATCAATATCAGGAGGTGTATTCATCGTCAGCATTTAGCAATCAAAGTAAGTTGCATTTCTAGGACAGTGGTGGTCTAGTCGTCTAAAGCGCCGAATTCGTTGTACGTTCGTTTTGGCGCGACAAGAAGTATTGAAATGGATTCAAATGCCAGATTTGTTCTCATGGTTCAAACAATACATTATTTCCGTCATTAACTGTAACAGGGGTTACTTTAATAAGCTTTTGTCAAGCTGTCATGTTTTATTTCTTTCAATATATTGTCATGCAAAACCGTGTAAATGTTCTTGATAAATTAGCAAATTATATTTTTTATTGTTTCATCTAAATGGACAATGCCTATTTGAAGACATGCCATACTGAACACCTGATATCATGACTATTTGATAGTCATTCGTAAATACGTGTTCATGACCCGTACAATTGGCTCTGTTTTCAGCAGAAAGTTCTGATGATTATGGAAAAGGTTTTGTCACTTTTATTGTACAAAGATGACCTCGAAATTCTCTATGGTGTCCCGGACTTCGAGCGGGGTCTCCTTGTTGACTACATTATATCAATATAGTGTATGCATAAATACATGAAAGGAATATCCTACATAATTAATATATCAGTGAATTGTGATTGACTCGCGTAATCTAAAAGCGTGGTAGATATATTTAGCAAGTTGTGTAATAGTGTATTTACATTTAGAAGACATAAGATTTACAATTTTTTCATATGATGGATTAGTGTGAACATATGTATCAATAAAATGTAACGTAATGTTGAATATGAAGTACAAATAAGAAGGAAATGATATTCATTTTCAATGTAGTTGAAGTCCAATTTTTGATATTGTGGGCAAAATCTTTTGTTTTCTTCTATATTGGTATGACGTCCAGTTTCGATCATAAGTTTATGGCAGCTGCATCGGAATCTTGTTAGGGTTTCTTTATAGATCTTCTTGTTTACTTCCTGAAGGTACATTTATATTGTTAATACCGATTTGAAAGTTAAATATGTTTTAATTTTTGAATATCTGAGATAGGTTTTCAATCCAACGTTGTTGACCACAGTCCACGATACGTTGTTTGAATTGTGAAATGAATATTTGCGGATCTCCAACATCTTGAATTATCCAGGCGTAGCCAAATCCATACTTGAAAAGAATGTTTTTTTATATATGTTGCCCAGGATATACGGTCAGCTTCATCTAATTTGTACATCATTAAATACGTTTGCTTCGGTAGACGACCAGTGTTCATAGAGATTAATTTTGTCCAGTATTTAATACATTTACTAATATAATCCACATATAATCGTTGTCTTCCAGTTTCATCAAGAACAGCGTCATTGCTTGCATTATTTGGTAGGTTAAGAGTCCGTTTGTAATATTTAGTCTGTACCATCTCTATAGTTTCGTAGTATTGGAACCCCCAAACTTCAGAGCCATATGTTAATATTGGTAAAACCATGGATTCGAACATCTTGATTGCAGTAGTGATTGGTAATTCTCCACAGAGATAGTTTATTTTATAGATATAATGACATACTTTTTCTGCTTGTTGTGCAAGTGTTGCCGTTGCTTTTGTCCATAGCAATTTAGGAGTGAAAAATAGTCCCAAATCAGATGAAACAGTCTCTATCTTTTCTTCTCTGTAAGTCCAATTTTCATAGTTCCTTAAACGTCCACCATTTCTAAAAACGTTTATCTTTGATTTGTTCATATTTAGAGACAGTCCCCATTTTTTACAAAATTCACTTATACAGTTGATCTGTTGTTGTAATCTTCCAGTGGTATCGGCAGTGTTGGCAACATCATCGGCGTATAATAAAGAACAAATATTTGGTGCTTCTTCTGAGATGAATATTCCACGACAGTCAGATTGATTTAGTTCGTTGACCAATTCATTTATAAACAGGCAAAAGAGTGTCGGGCTGGTCATACATCCTTGTCGCGTTCCAATAAAACAGTTAAAATATTCAGTTAAACCGTTATCAGTTCTCACACAAGCTTTTAGTTTCGAATACATATCTCGTAGAATTTTTAGAACGTTTCCATGGATACCATATTTCATAAGCCGATGCCAAAGCAAGTTATGGTGAACACAGTCAAACGCTTTACTGAAGTCAATGAAGAGACAATAAAATCTCCCACCGGTTGATTTTGATAGACATTTCTGTATCATTCCATACAATGTGAAAATACTGTCGACTGTTAAGCGTCCTTTTCTAAAACCAAACTGGTTTTCATATATTATATTATTGTCATCACACCATAGCTGCAGGCGTTCGTTGATAATTTTTGTGAATATTTTCCCCAAAACGGGTAATAAAGAAATGCCTCTATAATTATTCACACTGTTCGTATCTCCATCTTTATACAGCGGAAATATAACTGCTCTGCACCATGATTCCGTATAAACACCTGATTTTATTATCTCGTTAAACAGATGCACACATATAGGTACAATAATATCCAAAGAATTCTGAAATAGTTCAGAAGAGATCCCATCACATCCTGGTGCTTTATTTGATTTCATGTTAATAATGGCTGTCTTCACTTCATCACTTGATATCTCTCTGTTTACGTCTTCAGGCGATCCACGTTCACAAGCCTCACATACATCATTGTCATGCTGTGATATGTCTGATTTTACTAAACCTTCAATAGATGACTTCGAACTGGGAGAATTTAATAGATTCTGGAAATATGAAAACCATCCCCAAGAACTGATACTGTTTGTTTTCCTGCAACATTTTATTTTCTTCATTTCCTTCCACAGTTAGTTTGTAACACTTTTTATCTCATTAAATCTATCTCTGAGTGAACGCTGAAATTCATCTTGTTTCCGTTTGCAAAATTCTTTAAAGGTTCGTCTGTGCTGTTTATATACTTGGTAATCTTCATCTCTATCCGTGTCTCTGAATCTATCCAGTGCAAAATACTTCTCCTACTTCATTCTATCACACTCTGCGTTATGTATATGTACCTCACTATTTCATGCTTTTTTAATAACAGTACTCCTTTTATGTAGTTGTTGAGACCAGATCTTTCAAAGTATATTGATTACCTCCACGATTTTAATCGTAGAATATGTGTTGTTTTAATGTTCGGCTAATTGTGTCAGCCATGGCCAACACCTGAGGGGATGGTGTAAATCCTGCTGGGGTCCATGCAGGTAGCAAAAGTACTTTAAGTCCCTATGGTCCCTAGTGTGGTGCTGACGATCGTTAGCCCTTTATATTGTATCGTTACATATAGTGAAATCTTTTTATGGTTGTATACTAGTTTTAAATAATAATCTGTGATATCCTAGTTATTTTACTGTCCTTCGTTGATAGACTTTTATTGTTTAAACGTATATATTGTGTATAACTTTTGTTAGTCACGATATGGCTGAAATACTGCGGATGTGACTATAAATCTTAACTCACCCAATCAATCATATACTTGTTTACACAATTACTAATGCATTGTAAATGTATAACATCGTTGTCTTTTTTATCTATCTATCTATCTATCTATCTATCCATCCATCCATCCATCAACCATCCATCCATCCATCCATACATCCATACATCCACCCATCCATCCATTCACCCATCCATCCACCCATCCATCCATCCATCCATCCATCTACAGTAAACTACGGTTATAACGAACTCAGAGGGACTACTATTTTTAGTTTGTTATAACCGTAGTTCGTTATAAGCATATACATGTATACAGCCTAACTACAGTAAATAGTCGGAACAAAAAAGTAAGTTCGTTATATCCGTCAGTTGGTTATAAGCGTGTTTGTTATAAACGTAGTTTACTGTATCATCCATCATCCATCCATCCATTCATCCATCCATCCATCCATCTAAACTCACCACCTCCATTTGTATATTCCTATTATTTTAATGTATTTGCACTTTGTTTCTCTTTATAATCAATGAAACAATATTTGCTTTAAATATTTCTTCTACGTTTACAAATTGAAATGAAATGTTGATATAGTTTTTCTGCTCTATTTGTTTGCTTTTGAAATATTTTTCCTTAATTTGTTCTGAAATTAGAAACACTGTCGATCACGGAATGTTTTTTTCCGTAAATGTTGAAAATCTGTGCGAGTCGCTGGTGATACACTGTAAGGCTAGCGGTGGGCTCCGACTGGGGCTTGTTTTGACACACACTGTGTACATAACGTGGTGGTCACGATGCTAGCGATGTGTATCTCCAAACTCCCGCGCTCCCTGTGTTCTCGTCACCGAGTTATCGCTCCCGGAGCCTCACTGTTGCCATTGTCGCTGTTGACGTAGCTGTGTCGGAGAGAATATAACCAATCAACGTCACAATACTTGTTGACGTTTTCACTTTGTCACCGACTCTGCACAATCAATGTTAGCTTATATGTAAGCCCCGGGACTTGCATCACGACGTCAACCAATGAGAGACGGCGTTATCTTGGATCACGTCAGTGCCATGGTAGCCTGTCGATGTAAAGTTCCCTAAGCCACCTGAGTGTTCAACGAAGCGAAGTGGACCCGTCGTAGTAAGAACGAAATAAACAGAATTTTACCGACTTTACACAAACAAACAACCCGCCCTTTTGTTTTTGGGCTGGGCTAATGGTAAACGTCATGAAACACTGGATGCTGATTGTCCAGACGTCTCCCAGCGTGAAAACGCGTAATGGGGAGCTTTACCTCAAAACGTGAAAGCTAAATACCGTGTTTGGTCTGCTGATTATAACTGGCCATCGTTGTCGACCTTTATTTACTTCTAATGAACCGCCGGCATTCGCTGATGTTTTAACACTTTGCATTCGTTTTCTCACCACAGAAACAAAAGAACCAAGTGGCCAGTCACATCGGCATCAAGTGTCCTTATGTATCAAACCAGAGGAGAGGTTGCAAAGGGCAATAATTCTAACACTTGGAGGATAATTGGAGGAGACTGCATACAGCAGTAACGGAATCGTGCCATAATGAGACTCGGTCAGGTAGGGTCTATATTAAACTTAATCAGTTTAGTTACAATTATTTACCATGTTTAAATTTTCGTATTTGTCTAGTTGGCTTTGCTCCCAAATTGGAAGTGCATTACACACACACACACACACACACACACATATATATATATATATATATATATAATATTCGTTTGTGCTGTAAACATTCATTTTACAAGAACTAGAAGACATCTATGCACTTATTTACCTAGATGACAATTTTAAAAGTTCTAAATTACTTTCTCCCAGACTTCAAATCAATGATGTTTGTAAGCGGAAACAGTGTTCTTAGTTGTGTTTTCTTATGTTATTTTCCGTTTGGTCTATTAAACTCAAAGCAATATTTCGCAATATTACTGATTGAAAACGGTGATAAGGTTCAGTGTATTCCGTCACTGGGTTGAAAGAAGATTAATCTATGTGTCACAAATGTACCTGTATCAGTCGAATGCAATTTATGGGCAGGTAGGGTTGGCATACTGGTTGAAGCGTTCGTTCGTCACAGACATAGGATCGACTCCATTCGACATTGGTACATTTGAGAAATGTATCGCGTTGCCATTGCCACATCGCACCATGAACACTTACAATGTAGAAGTTTCAGGTAAAATCGAAATATAAGGGTATACCAATAACGATTTGGTGGAAATACGTTCATGACATTTGATAGTTATTACCAATAACGTGTTAATCGAACAATACATAGATTCATGTAGGTTGCTGGTGATACTACAACCTGTAACAGGAGTGACACACATGAAACGCGATGTGTTGCTCAGAGATGTAAATGTGGAATCCAGTTTAAGATGGGGAGCAAAATGTACACTTTCACTCACTCCTTTATCAGGCCTTTGTTTGCAATATACAGTTAACATGGAAATAGCCAAAGCTATGTATTCACTATGTGTCTAAAATATGGTCTGAGATTAGTTACACGGTCAAGTTTTGATCACGTTTATCATTTGAACCACTGAGTCTGCCCGGGGAGCATAAGGTCTGGGGTTCGATCTCCGGCCGCGTCATACCAAAAGACATAGAAAAATGGTGCTTGTTGTTACCCTGTCTTGTGCTCGGCTTTAAGGGGCTGACCAAGGACTCGTCGGCTCGGAGTCAGTATAATGTATCTGAGGGGGTATTCATGTTAAATTGCGGCGAAATAGGCATTAGTCGCTGCGATTACAAGCACACAGACGCGTGCATGCACGTTACGTTAAACCCATTTTACTGCACCTAGTCCACTGGAGCAGACACCTGATGCAGAACACATGTGCACCCGAGGAAGTGTTATTCATCTTCTTCACGTGTACTGATCTTCGCCATTGTCACAGTAGGAACTGAGATCCCTAACGCAAACCATTAGCAAATGTAAAATACGTTCCTGATATGTGTTCCTTCTATAAATTAGTTTATTAAGCTGTGTCATACACATGCTTATACATTATCCACAAATTCACAGATCCTATGTAAGTTTGGAAACACAAAAGAGTCCTTGTTTCACCACACTTGTTTTGTTTTATAAAACGTCAGTCAGAATACCCTACAGGGTGGTTTCTGCGAGGTGTCGGAGAATCAATAATCTTCTTTGTTGGCTATTTCTGCCGCCTCTATCAACACTTGTCCAGGCAAAGGTGTTTGAACATACACTCACCATCCATTCAATATTTGCCTAACGTCTTGCCGCCATCAAGGGCCAAGAAGACATTTTTAACATACAAGCAATATGCATGCTCATGACAATACGGCAACGTTCAACATGCTAAATGAGACCAGGGTTTTTGTCTTTGGAAAAAGAGAGAGAGAGAGAGAGTTAGAGTGAGAGAGTGAGAGAAGGACGACATATAGCAGCCATAAATAGCATAGTAGTGTTCCTGCACATGCTTATCTTTTGCACGAACACCTGGGTTCATCACTGATTTTCAGTGATCCATTTATGCGGTTTTATACCCTTTGACGTTTTATATTTTATCTGTGTTATATTCTGCAGCATTTTCAATACTGCTTTCCACCAAGGTAATATGTGTCATATCCATCATTTTATTTTGGAATAAATAATTTATAGTATATTAGACATGTAATTAAAAATGTCAGTAGTTTAGCGGTATTAAAATAGCACCATAGTTATAGTCATGGGGAAGTATTTACAACCACCAGGATGTATAATTGTTTTGTTGTATCCAATTATACGCGTTTTTGTTTTGTAGAAAGCTAGCGCTTTCATGGGTAAAACAGAGCAATAGATTTACAATTAACCCACTCGACTATGGCTGGTTATGATGTGAAGTGTACAGTGTCGTGGCTAGTTACGATTTTAGAGCGTACATGGCGTTTAAAGCGTTCTGGTTGGTAGCGATTTTAGAGCGTAAGTAGTATAGGTAATAGGGGTTCTGGACCACTTCCCCTGGATCCAGATTTATATATAACTATACTGCTACTACAGGGGGGATTTTTTATGCCAAAATGATCATGCGATTCAATGATAGTCATGAGTTGTATTAAACAAAACATCAATATTAATTAATAATGAATAAAATTGACTATAGCCCACGAGGATATTGGAAAGGTGTAGGAGCAATAAAAAAATTAGCCACCGGGGCTAAGGTATCTAAAGATGTGGCCAAGGATTGGTTAAAGAAACAAGCGATGTGGCAAATATATTTACCGGCACCGCGTTATATACCGAGGAAGAAGTTTGATATTTTTACAACGAATGAAGTTCATCAGGCTGACCTCTTGTTTCTTCCCCATGATAAGGTAAAACGCAAAACGTATAAATACGCTTTAACCGTAGTGGATGTGGCTAGTCGATACAAAGAGGCTGAGCCATTAACCTCGAAAGAATCAACAGAGGTAGCTAATGCACTGAGTTGTATATATAAACGCGGACCACTAAAATGGCCTAAGCTATTTCAAGTAGATCCCGGTCGCGAGTTTATGGGATCGATAACAAAACTGTTAACAAAGCACAATGTCGAAATCAGGCGTGGTGAAAGAGAGGCCCACCACAGTCAAGCTATCGTCGAAAGATTTAACAGGACATTAGCGGAACGTTTGTTTGGCTATCAGTATGGGTTCGAAATGAAATCCGAGCGATTGAGATCAACCGAATGGGTGACACGATTATCAGCCGTTGTATCAGCGCTGAATAATGAAGTAACGAGATTAATAGGGAAGAAACCATCCGATGCCTTTTAAAAAGAAATCCGTGACTTCCGAATCTTCAGCACCGAGGAGAGGCAAAGAACGAAAACTTCCGGATAGAGTAAGGATAAGATATTTATACCAGCCCGGTGAACTCGAAGGAGGCCTACGTCACGCAACCGATCCGATTTGGTCCCTTAGGACATATAACATTAGTCGATTGGTTATGAAAGAAGGAGAGCCTATTCTTTATTTTCTTCAAGATGGACCGGGTAGGGCATTTGTACGAGAAGAGTTGTTCATAGTTCCCAACGGTACGGTATTACCACCATAACCATAAGCATAGGTAGTTACACCATCATTATCAATCCATCTCTTTGTATCTAAGGGGGATAATGATGTCTTGTTCATTCTTAATCCATATATCCTATGATTGTAACTTCTTAAAGAATTCATCTCGTGTTTGAACGTTCTACCGTTGAATAATGATTCTTTATACTGTTCGTGTTTGATATGCTTTTTTACAACATACTTCTTAACACCCTTAGCTTTTCTTATCTCCCCATTATCGGACTTCTTTATATACTACATCTTAGGTCTTAATCCGACATACTCCGCTATAGGGGTCCCAGCACATTCATCCTTCATCTAACCTAACACCTTTTATTTACTACGCTGTGCAGTGGATTATCTTTTGGGCAATCGCTCGTGTCGTACATATCTATTTTTTCTGCCATATCTTTATACACATCCTCGGTTTGTATTTCCATCAACAAAGAATCTGTGTCGGTATATAACACCTCGCATCTATCGCCGTATTGCTTCTTAAGTTCGTTGTAATAAAAGTCATACATTAAGTGTTTTGACAAGTCGAGAATACTCATACTGACGTACACCGGTCTGCATTTTATATTACTCTTCTGCATATGCAACGCGGCTAAGTCGTTATCGAATATCTTGCTTCTGTCAAAAGCCGGACTGGCTATAAGTTTCCTGAGTCTTTCTTCCCCATTAGATCTGACTAATTTAACATCAACATGCTTCCTTAGATTCTCCATAGTTTTGCCAAATACTGAGTTATTCATGAGCTTATACAGATTCTTTTCGATATCACTGGTAGCTATCTTTCTTAAATCTGTGTTCAACCTTATATAGGGCTCCATCCAAGGGCTTTGATCAAACTTTAGAACTCTGTGTATTTTCTTTAATTTCATACCTAACGATAGATATAACTGGAGATTTCTGTAGTGAACTATATATTTTGTCTTATCCATCAAATTTGGTACGAGTTTTTCTACGTTAGCTAACCTACTATTACCCATCAAGGAGCGTTGATAGTCCGACATCCAATCTTTATTAACCATGAATCTTTCGGGAGCTAGCGGATAACTGTTATGATCTTTATGTAACGAACTTGGATATTCCAAGTCAACTTCTAGTATGTACCCTTTATTCGCATCATTCACTTCGATATCATCGACCCACTCAAAACCACCCGTGGGTAAAGGTTGACTCATAGCCCATCCGTACAAATTGTTAGCGTCGAGATATAATATGTGCGTGTCGGGATTACTCGGATCGTATCCTTCCACTAATTTATTATTAGCCTGAGAATACCTTTTCGCCGCCATCGATATACCACCTCTTAATCCAAGTGCATATCGTAATCTGTGAGTAGTTTTAGTTCTACGCCGGTCTTCTTCAACAATGCATCCCACGATAGTCCGGGACTGGAATAGTACCATGCCGGGTCCAAGCCGTATTGTTTTAAACATGTCTTTCTAAATTCTTACAACCTAATTTATCCCAGACCGTCAGAGCGTGTTCATAATCGGCATCTGTTATTTTAGATT